TTCCCCCCCCCCCCCCCACACACACACACACACACACACACACACACACACTCCACCACCTCATCACCTTCTTGTACTCTTCTGACTGCAGGTTTTATGTTCCTTCCTTTCTTCCCACAATGCCCCATCATCAGCCCCCAGAGACCTACTGGTGCCTGAGTGAATATGTCATTAATCATGATGATGGAGCGTAGCGGGCTGATCACACAACATTAATAACCATGTATTGATTTGACAATCCGTACTTCACCCAGTTATAAACTCTCCCACCAAGTCCCAACCTGTGCAGCTTCATCAGCAAACCTTTCTCTATGTCCACACTGCAGTGACTGACCCTCTACTCCTATTTCAGCCTCGAGGCTCATCACTGAGTCCATGTTCCTTCCTTTCCTAAAAACACTCTGAACTTGCCATCGTTCCTCTCTTCTCAAGCTCACATGAGCATCTTTCCTTTATCTTACAGACATTAGATGTGAGAGCTGTTGGTCTGTAGCTGAACTTTCTTTTGAAGGCGCAGCAGCTTTAATGCTGGGTGATGATCACTGACTGTTGTCGCTGTCCAATGCATTACACACTAATGTGATATCTAATGTACTCATGTTTATCCTTGTTCCTCTACAGATCAAATCACTATCATCCATCAAACCTTCACGATACCCTCCATCTGTACCCCCACATTGTACTGTAAGCTTTGTAATCAGCACAGCATACTTCTTTATATCCGTTTATTCCTTTAATTCTTAGTATTGTTGTATTCTTAGTATTCTTATTATTGTTAGTATTCTTGTATTCTTAGTAGTTGTATTCTTAGTATTGTTAGTATTCTTAGTATTGTTAGTATTCTTGTATTCTTAGTAGTTGTATTCTCAGTATTCTTAGTATTGTTATTCTTAGTTTTCTTGTATTGTTAGTATTCTTGTATTCTTAGTAGTTGTATTCTTAGTATTGTTAGTATTGTTAGTATTGTTAGTATTCTTGTATTCTTAGTAGTTGTATTCTCAGTATTCTTGGTATTCTTGGTATTTTTCCCTGAAAACAAAATAAAATAATAATAAAATACCACATTAACGTATATTTTATCCTCCATGTTTTTACACTAGACCTATAAAACTACATTTCTTCTCTTTCACTCTTTACAACATAAATGTCTCGCTTCCTCCTCTCTCACACCTTTTTTTCCACATTTGGTTGCTTTTCTTCTCCAAATAATACCCTTGACCTGCTTTACTGAGACTAATTTGCATATCTGTGTTTCCTTCCTTTTAATCACTTCGGACAACATCTATAAAACACAGACGAGACAGTTTAAATGACGTAAACAATCATTTTATTGTTGTTGAAGTGTTCTCTAACTTATCATCCTCTGGTTATTTATGTCTTTGATCATTTTGATATTGTGAATTAATTTTCATTTTATTTATTTAAAAAAACAAACCAGTAAAGTTACAACAGCCACCAGTACGACACACACTCACACTAGAGAAACCCCACAGGGAGTCAGGAATACGAACCCTGAACCAGGTTTTCGTATTCAATTTAAACCAAAAGATGGTTTTGAAGAAGATTTTTGAAGATTGTCTCCAGTTTAAAGCCCTTAAAAGTACTAACAAGTAAAAGTCCTGCGTTCTAACAAACTGGTTAAGAAGGCCGGCTCCATCATTGGCTGCAAACAATACATTCTGGAAGAGGTGGTGGAGAGGACACTGAAGAAACTATTATCCATATTGGATAACCCAGACCACCCTCTCCACCACCTACTGCAGGGACAGACTGATCCAGCTCCACTGTCACAGGACCGATACAGGAGAACATTCCTGCCCTCTGCAATAAGACTTTATAATAAATCACCTCTGAACAGATCATCCTCCACATAACTACACACTGCTACACTGTTGTTTGCTGGTGGTTGATTTTTGCACTACTGTTTTTCATCTAGTTAGTTAATTTAACACTATTCTATTACACTGTATATACTGTGTATTTTTGTTGCTTATCTTATATATTCTATATTCTGATATTTAATTTGTCCTACTGTGTTATTCTATTGTATATATTGTGCATTTTTTAATACTTAATATTTTGGTTACTCTGTTACTTTGCGTCTTGGTATGTCTTGCTGCTGTAACATACAATTTTCCCCCTGGGGATGAATAAAGTACATATCTATCTATCTATCTATCTATCTATCTATCTATCTAAACGTGACTGAAGTACGACAGTATCAGCATCAAAATAAACTTAAAGTACCAAAAGTAGAAGAAGGTTACATTGTTGCAGTAATGTGCTCGTCACGTTCACGTTGTTTGAGGTGAACAACCCATAATCGTCTGCGAGTGGCTTCTTGTCTCTTCTTCTCCAGAAGCTGCAGATGGAAACAAGAACTCAGATGTCGTTCACGGTCACAGTATGAAAGGAATGACAGCTCTTCTGGAGCGAGGGTAGTCCTCAAACCTCTGCTGGTAGTCTCTGCAAGACCGACAATCCGGTTAGACCTGATCCCCCCCCACTGATGATATTAGACAACAGCACTCAGACACACACTCAGAACTTTAAAGACATGACTTTAAAAATAAACAAGTTAACCTTTTGTTTCAGCTGTGACGAAAAACTGAACTCATGTTTTACTTGAAGTCAACTTCAAAAGAACATGGACTGGAAAGATGATAGCTTCAAGGCTCTCTTCCTGCTGACATCTGTCCTAACTTCAAGTCCAGCCATGTTCCGACTGTTACATTCACTCATGCAGCTGCAACTTTTACCTGATAATTCATCCGTTTCTAGAAAACCAGACCAGTTTACTGTGATTCTGTTTTTGTTTAGCTGATGAGCTAATGTTAGCGGATGTTCTAGTCTCACAGAACTGAACTTGTTGTAGCAGAATGAAGAGGAGAGAGGCAGTTCTTGGAGTCGCAACCAGCGGGGATCGTTTATTCTTAGTTCACAACAGATCCAAAGTGTCAGAGTTCTAACGTCTGACTTCCTGCACCTCACGCCACATTACACCAATCAAATCCCTTTGACTGAACAAAACACATCTGGTCCTCTCATCATGTCAAAATAACAAATTATATAAGGTCACGTAAGCTTCAACAAACTCCTTCAGAGCCATGTCATAACCCTGTGATTCTGTTATTGTCTAGCTGCTAACATCCTTCAATGGGGGACAAGATGGAGGTTGTGACAGGACATTTTATGTTTTAGGGATGGGGGGGGGGGGGGACTCGGACCATGAAGCGACCAGGTTGCTAACATACCTGTGGTGCTGGTAGGCTCTGGGCCCGATGGAGCACACGGTGAAGAAAGCAAAGGCGGTGGCGGGTAAAGACCACGAGGCTAAAGCGAAACCACACCACTCCAGGATCTCACCGAAGAAGTTGGCGCCAGACACAAACTCAAACATCCCCCCTAAAGGAAAGTGAATCAGGATCTGAAGTGAATCAGGATCTAAAGTGAATCAGGATCTAAAGTGAATCAGGATCTAAAGTGAATCAGGATCTAAACTTTAGATCCTGATTTGATGATCTGAAGTGAATCAGGATCTAAACTTTAGATCCAGTGTGGATCAGGATCTGTGGTACCATAGGGGATCCTGTAGATGGTCTCTCCAGGTCTTCTCAGGCTTCGCAGGATGTGGTCACTGTGGACGTTGACGATCATTCCGACCACGAAGAGAAGAAAACCTTCACAATGATTAAATACAGAAGAGTTATAAAACTAAAACCCAGCGGCTCCTTTAACTGTACGACGGCGTGTTGGGTCCAACAAACCACCATCTTTCAGCCAGGACAGCAACGTTGATTTGTTCATGTAACTTCTGTACTTCAGTGACGTCACTCCTGGAGATAATTTAACCCCAAAACCACCATCTTTATCTGTACCTCACTACGTCCTTTTGTTGCCGAAACCAAACTGAGTTTCCTGTGAAAGAGTTTATTTTGAAAAGACTGTATTCATTCAAATTGACCCGTGTTGCTGGACTTTAGTAGGAAACTCTCGTATGAATGGTTGTATGAGGATACGATAAATTAATAAACTTCAACAGTTAAAGAGTTTTCCTTCTGAATATTACCCCTCCCCCAGCTTTGCATCTATTATTTTGTATCTACAACGGCCCTGATACACTGTTGTTTCAAAGTGTCACAGTTTTCTTGTGCACTTTTCTTTCTGTTGTCATTTGTTTTGAGATTTCTAGAAGAGTTTAAATGTTCTAATCAATTACTATCATCTCTTTAAAGATCTAGAGGAGTAATGAGTTCAAAGGTTCTAATCAACTACTATCATCTCTGTAAAGATCTAGAGGAGTAATGACTTCAAAGGTTCTAATCAACTATCATCTCTGTAAAGATCTAGAGGAGTGATGAGTTTAAAGGTTCTAATCAACTACTGTCATCTCTGTAAAGATCTAGAGGAGTGATGAGTTTAAATGTTCTAATCAACTACTATCATCTCAGTAAAGATCTAGAGGAGTAATGAGTTCAAAGGTTCTAATCAACTACTATCATCTCTGTAAAGATCTAGTCACTGCACCTTGATAGAAGGTTCAACCACGACTCCCAGGGTGCATTTCACCTGCAAACATCCAATCACAGAGCTTATAACTTTGGCAGTTTGAGTCTTACATTCTGGCTTCTTCTCCATGACAATGGCCGCTAAAGGCTCATGGGTATTGTAGTATTTAGAGCCAAGCTGGATGTTGTAGTGACCCACCTGCAGCCAGGCGAGCGTCACTCAGCCAGGTGTGCTCAAACTGGGCGCAGTGCAGCAGGTGGTGTCCCTGCAGGAAGCCGTTGAGCGAGCAGAAGATGGCGGCGGCGAGGACGATGGGCAGTGGGACGGGACGTCCTCTTGTCAGGAAGGCGTAGATAAAGCTCCTGCAGAACAGACACATCCTCTTTGTTTCACTTTAAACCAGTGAGTCTCATGTGTTCACTTTAAACCAGTGAGTCTCATGTGTTCACATCTGAATGAAGTCACAGAAAACAAACCTCAGAGTCCAGTAAGATCAGAATGTAACACATGAGTTCACTGTTCAATGCTGTAAACAGAGAGAAGCTGAAACAAGGTTTAATAACCAGACAAAGTCCTCTTATTAAGAAAAATATAATGTTGTGGCTGTTTGGTGACATCACTTCACACCTGAATGAATTTAAAGCTGCAGAACAATTCAGTGAAATTTAATTTTTATTTTTCAAAAGCTTTCTGTTCTGTATTTTATTCTATAGGACCCGAGAGCCCCCCCACGGGGGGCTGTTTTAGAGTGTGCAGCATTCAGCGTGTCGTAGAAAGCATTTTTCATAAAGAAATATGATTATTGCTCCAGACATATTAAATATCGAATTAACGGGAAAAGTCCGAGCAACATCATCATTCCAGCCATTGTAAACACTGCAAACACAATTATACATGAACTAATATCATATCTGGAAGATATCTAGAAGATTTGCCACAATTTTGGCCAAAAATCGACGACCTATGCTCTCTCTATGGCTCTCTCATCACGGAGCAGGATCGCACATGGCGGATGAACACATGCAGGAGGGGCACGATTCGACCCGGAAACGCACAGCGGCGTCCAAATTACTCTCTTTCAAACCGTTCAAAAGTTATGGGTATGCATGCCAACATCAGCCGCAGGACACGAGAAAAAAAATTGGGTAAAAAAAACAAAAACGTACGTTTTGGCGATGAAAAACGGATTTATTCGAGCCGATTTCTGCACAGCTCTGCCCGCCATGTTCTGCTGCATGTCTGTGAGTGAGATCAATGTGGGGTGGAGCAATCCATGTAGAGAGGGGGGTTCGCCCAGCATTTTGCGATTTTTAGCCAGTAAACAGACCCGGATATGATCAAACACCCCCGCATGGCTCCCGTTGGACTATCCCGCATCTAAAAATGTCTCACACAGTATATATATATATATATATATATATATATATA